ACTCATAGTTTACTGTAGTTATTAAACTATTTGTGGGGAATTAGTCTATTTTGTGGAAATTAAAAGAATATTTAGAAACATTCTTTCCCTCACATGTTTGCCTTGAAGGGGATGTTTCATTAGAACGTCCTTTTGTATCTAAAACTGAAAGTCTATAACACTATAACCTCCAAAACCCTTATTTTCCCTTTATGTACAAACAATATTTTAAATGTGATTGTAAATAATGGTGCTTACATTTTTAAATGACTATTGTTACTTGAAATTCATATTAGAAACAGAAAGATTGCATCATTCATTTAGACACCCAGATTTTTAAGTGTCAAAATTAAAAAATAACTTGGGAGAACTTGTCAATGTTGTCAGATCTTAGTTACATTAACAAGCTTTTTTATATTATTATCTTTTAAAAAATCAGAAAATATAGTAAGCAAAAAGAACATTAAAATTTTCACTCATTTAGAAATAATCATTTTAAGATAGAAGAAAAGAGGAAGACGGAATCACCAAAAATATGTAATTACTGTATTTTCTGTTTTAAGATGCACATCTTTTCAAATTTTAACATCTCTGAAATCAAGAGTGTAAAGAAGCATAATTGCCTTTTCTAGTGGTGGCAATTATACATATAACAATGGTGCTTCTTAAAATTGATGGTCTTGTGTCCAATTAAATACAGTAATAGGTTCATTGTAATTTGGGGTATAGATCCTTACAGATAGAATAGCAAATCCGAGGGACAGAACTGCATTGCACAAGTTGCTTGCACTGATTTGAGGAAGCATTTCCAATAGCAACGTGCCTCTCTGGAACCGGTGTCTGGGGCATGCTGAACTGATTCCATTCCCATCCTCTTCACTGTCATAGCACTCCAGAAAAAGTAGATGGGCTTGGTTCTGGCACGACTCAGGGTGGCCTTAGTGTCATGCTTTAATTCCCACAGAGAAAGGAAGACTGATAGGGGCATCTTTCTGAGGCCACCTCACCTTCACTTCATCTCCAGTAAAAAGTATAATCACTGTTGATTAGTTCTGAGGCAAAAAACAGCTGTTACTTTTAGAAATCTTTGATAGAGCTATCACTAATGCTCCTCTGTAACATTTTGGTGTAAGTAGTTTATTTACTTATTGGGTAGTAAATATTTTTATGTTGTGGTCCTTCATGTCTTTTTATTAGTCTATGAGGACAGAGCTGTTTAATTCAAATAACACTGGTATATAATCTTTTTCAAACTTAACCTGTAATATCTGTGTATTATGTAAATGCAAAGTATCACATATAGATGTACTTTTTTAAGCTATTTTTAAATAAAACCTGTTTGGGTTTTTTTCTAACTAGAAATTTAAGTTTCTCCAATTTATACATACAGGAAATACTAAAGAATGAAACATACAAAGAAGACATTAAAATAAAAAGCAAAGGTTTTTATGAAAAAGGAAAACTCCTTGGTAAAGAGAGCAGTGAGGAACTCTTGGCTCCACCAGTTGAAACTCAGATTAAAGGCCATGCATCTGCTCCATACTTCGGAAAGGAAGAACCCTCAGTGGCTCCCACCAGCACTGGTACAACCTTTCAACCAGGATCCTGGATGCCACAAGATGGCAAGAAGCACAATCAATAAATGCACTGTAATAAAATCATTTTCATGTATATGTATGTGACTATTTTAACAAATAAAAAAAAGTTACTTTATATTTTCTGACTATGCAATAGCTCTCTATTCCATTAAGCTTAAGAATTCATTTTCAGTATGCATAAGAAATGTGATGTATGGACTATAGAAACTAACTTCTTTTTAGACTTAAATCTTCATTTGATTTAGTCATCATTCTGTGTTTATGAACTTAGATTTTCCCTCATTGTATTGCTCCCTTAAGAAGTATCATGTAGCTGTAAATGCTCAGTACATTTTGGATCCTTATGATCATTTAAGAACTACCCAAGATACATCTTGATAAGACATGGTAAGGATCATGAGGTCTCCTCAATGAGCAAATATAAAAAAAATGAGAAGACTGCTATTTTTGGAGAGGCACTCTGTAAGAGTCTAAAGATTAATCAAGAACATGAACTTGGATAAAACATTTTGAGGCCAAGAAAATTTAGTTGATAAAAGAAGCAAAAAACAAACAAAAAACCCTTAACTCCCTTGATGAGTAGATGGGACAAAAGCTAGCTTATGGACTAAGGCTGGAGTTTGGAGGGAGGAAGCAGACAATCCATCACCAAAGTCTAAAGAATAGTAAACAGAGAAATGGTACAATAACTCGAGTTCCATGAAATTAAAAATTACTTTGGGAAAATGGAAAATAGGAGAGGGTTCTAGAAAAGTGATTCTACTCATGGTGGGGCTCTAAGTGGCTTGTATATTGAAGAAAAATGTAGACAGATGACAATGTTAAAACGCTGATTTTACACACAAGTATTTTTGAAGGCTCATACATTTTCTGAAGTGCACAACTAAGCTTTTGTTGCTAGAGTTCTAACTCTAATACAGAATTCTTCTCACAGTGTTTGGCATTATATTATATTAGGCAGTCATGCCCTGAATAATGTAAGGAAATCTTTGGTTAAGTGTTAACAGTGAATTCCTAAAAACATAGGTTAAGATTTCTACTTACTAGATGGTCAAGCTTTTTTATTGCTTAAGAAATAAAAATACTTTATAAATTATACTAAAACAAGTTATCAAATGTAATCACCGTAACGTACTTATTCAGGGACAAAAAAGCCGTAGGTGATATTAACGTTCTAGCAGCCCTGATACTATCAAGTTAACCATTCTGTTTACATCATTAAAGTAATATTACATTTTACCATAGAGGCAAAAAAAGAACTAGCCACTAGGCAATATAAAAAGGTAGTATTTGTAGTATAATTGATTGTAAATTAAGATGTTCTTGAATCCTAGACTACAGGAAAAATTGTAGATGTTCTAACATGCTAGAATATTTCTAATACCAAATTCCCATTAGCTTAATTGTATTCTATATACAGCTTTTGTAAATGTTTGCCATATAGCCTGTGTATAGGTATCTTAACACATGACAAAATTTACATTTATTTTAATCTTTTTAGTTTTCATTTAAAATGTTTTAAATAAGTAGCAAAAAACAATACAAAATAACACCTTCTAATCGAGTCCTTGTGGGAAAATACCGGATACAGTAAGATGATACTGGCCCACCATTATTAGTAGAGTATGCACTTTCAGAGTGATTCTGACAGGTGGGAATGAAGTTTGTGGTAATCCATCTACACTCCTTTCCTCAAAGCTAACATTTTTAGGTTGTCTGGTTGCACTTTAGGTGGTATCAGAACAGAGTAAAATGTCCTATGTAAAAATTGAACTATATAATCTTGGCCTAATGATTTTTTTTATACTTGGCTTATAGGCCTGGCACATGCAAAGCAGAATTAAAGTTTTAAATAAAATGTTAGCTTGTCCCCAGTATTTCATATTTTAAAGTTATATTTTAGCCATTTATAATTTTTTCATGAAAATGTTTTCATCTTTTCAAGACATACTTCAAACCTATGCCGTTTATTTCAAAAGATGTTCATTTTAAAAGAGTGTAATATATACATTAAGTACTTTCTCAGAGGTAAATCCTGATTTCCTATGCCTTCTACAATACATACATATAGCATATTTTTATCAATAATGGGCTTATTACATTATACAGACTACTCCAGTATAGAAAATGTGTTGGCTGTTGGGTTTAAGCATCTAGCCTAATAGCCAAGCCTTGGATATTTAAAGTTAAAATGAACAAAAATGGAAGAATGTTTTTCCCCATCACCTGTTATCCTTTTCCATTGCTATTACTAAGATTTCTAGCTGTAATTTATTATTTTTTAATCAGCCTTGAACCAATACCATTATACTGATTTTTTATAATGTTATTTCATTAACCAAACTATTTAAAATGTAACCTGAATTTATTTAGACCAAGCTTTCTCAAACTGTGTGTTCACTGAGGAAAAACAGAGGTGAGAAGAGTCTATCCTAGTCAAACTAAGTTAAAAGACTCAAGAAATGAATCCTGTTTTACCTCGAACTATTGGTGTTTGAACATGGAATCCCTTTTAATATGGTTTTTTATATAAATATTTATATAAATATTTATTATTTTCCTTATATATTTATTCCAGACATGAAGTAAATGAGTGATCCTATAACCAACTGCCAACATAAAATCAATCATTCCTAAATAGGAATCAAACATTCTCTAACTTAAAACCAGATAAGGTGTAAAGTGCCCCTTGCCATTTCATGTGTAAGGAAAGAATGAATGGGTGAGTTGTTATTATAATGTATCTTAGCATTGGGTGTCCAGCTCATAGCTTCCTAAACTTCTTTCATTTGCTTACTGTAATTTCAAGAAATTAAAAAAAAAACATGCCCTTGCACATCTGATACAGTGATAATACCATGCTGAAGTTTACCACATGGACACTATGGATCAAATTCTGACACACAAACTTTTTGGGAGGGGGAGCAGGGGGAGGAGGTGGCCTGTTATAGGTGGCATGTCTAGTTTTCTTCCCCAAAACCAGCCCCAAAAGGTAATTTGATTGTATTACTTCTCAGGACTTCAGAAACAATTAAATAGGTAGGCAATTTTTAAAAGTAGTATTCTGGATAATAGTAAATGGGATTCCTTCAACAATAGTACTGTTTGTTACGAGTGAAGACTAATTTTTCCAAAGAATCCCACATCTCACAATAGTCTTATTTAAATTCCACTCCCCCCACCCCCCCACATATACAGACGCAAATATTGTAAAACCTTGTTGACCTCATATGTATAAAAAGTCTCCATAAATGTTGGGGAAAGCTGAAGAAACAACAAATGGTATATACCAAACAAATATAAAATGGGCATGGTTAAGACTTAACAGAGATTATAGAAAAACAGATCAGTTAAATAAATACCTTCATCACAACAGAACCAATGAAACTAAAGTAGATAACTAAGAATTATGACAAATATATCTTTTGCTATAGTATTTTTATTCTAAAATGTGACCAAGCAAGACATATGTATATAAATTCCTTCCATGAACAGCTTAATGGCAGAAACCCAAAAGCATTTTAGATATATCTTAACCTAGTTTTCTGAAACTGGGCTCTGCAGACCCATGAGGGTCAACAGTTATACCTAAGCATTTTTTTAAAGTTTTAATTTCAGTAATACAAAAAGCATATCCTAGATCACCTGAATAACTCATAACTGAACACTGAGTTATTTCAGCGCCTGGGATTGTAATGTGTTGCTTACAGTGACATCAAGTAGGAACTAACAACCTAAAATAGTAGTAGTAGTAGTAGTAGTAGTAGTATTAAACCAGTCCATAAAAATTCTCAGAGGTCCTTAGGTTCTCATATTTGCCCTCACCTTTTACAAGTGCTTAGCTATAAATGAAATTCATAACCTTTTGAAAAGTCTAACTTCATATCTAACTTGAATTTAATTACCCCCCAAAAAAAACCAAAACCTCAGAACCTCCTTATAAAAGTATCAAATTTATTTCAATATCTACTTTCATTGTTAAATTAAAGCTGTTGGACGATTTCTGTAATTTAAAATTCATTATCAGAAGTGAGGAAACATTAATAAGCTATTAAATACTAACAGCAAGTGAATTTAGACCATGCATTTATAAAAGCCAAGTTTAATAGTAAAAAGTTCCAGTTAACTGAAGGAAATGTCCTTTGGCTTTTTATTTCTAATTATAACATTCGCATTTTAACAACTGATCTTTTTCATCCAATTACTACTATGCCAAACAAAATTTTTCCAAGCATTAAGCCTTTCTTTACCATTTATGAAATATGAGTTAACTCTTAAGGGTTCCTTAAAAGAAATTTGAAATTTTAATTTTCACCATGAACTTTTTTGATCAAAAAGTTTAGGACATCACTACATGAGTTAAAAGAAAGAATAGAATAAAAAGTAAAAATGATAGCTACATAATCAGCAAACTATCAGATAAGACATGTTAACTACTTCACATTTCTACTTAGTACAAGTTAGAATAAACTGGTTCCAAAGTACTATGAGGTTTGGCATTTTTACTGCAAGCTTTGAATCAGTGTTACTCTACTCAACAAGACATCTCTAAGAAAATGGCAGTGTTCATAAATACAAAAATTGTTATGTCCAGTAGGTGGTATTCTACATTGTCAAGATAATAAGAGAATTCTTTATAAAATTAGATTTTTTAAATGTAGAATGTCTGATAAAATTAGCTGTATCTCAAAAGCTAAAATGAGAAAAATGCAGAAAATAGAAGTACTTATTTTGCTTTGAGAAAGCCAGAAATAATTCTAGTCTAAGAAATAAGCAATAATAAGAGATGTAATTAATATGCTTTATCTCTTTTAAGCCAAAGCAACCTTTTTCACCTCAGGACAACTCTGATTTTTACATTCTTAATTTCCTTTGTCCAGAACAGGACCCCATTTTAAGCCATATTTTAAATAGAGTTCATAATCCAAAGTCATTTTTTTCCTCCACAGAATGTTTACATTTCAATATTTAAGCTGCAAAATGGTAAATGACTAAATCAGTTATAATTTGTAGTATAATGAATGCCAATTTATAGTAACTGTCAAGTTTCTATACCAAAGCATAAAAGTTGCTACAATAAAGGTCAGAATTAACATGATTCTTCCATATGCTCAGACTTCATTTACTAAATATTGTCATAAAATCCAAAGAAACCTTAGTGGCTTCTTCCAAAGGTGCATAATTTTCCAAATGATTTTCCTCTGGTTGCAGAGCCTGTTCATTCCTTCAGTCCTTTTTTAGTCGTTTAGCTTTTGCAATATTTTCTTGACGTTTTTGTTTCTTCTTTTGCTCCTTTTCCTTGGCCTCAATCATCTTGGCCAATTTCCAGGACAGTACAGCACTTGCTAGAAACAATGGAGTAAGGGCCAAAATAACTGTTGTAAGGAAACCATATGGGTCCTCTGCGGCCCACTCCACAACATACTCAGCCCAAGCCTTTATATCAAACATCTTCGTAGCGATCTTAGGAAAGGGGGGTTGGGGGGAAGAGAAGAAAAGATTATGTGGTTAATCAAATTTTGAAAAAGTTACATCATACAATGTTAACTCAGAATTCCATTCTCTCTTATTAGTTGTTTTTTAAAAGTACTAATTAGTACTATTTTAATACTAATATCTCCAGTTAAGAAATAACTAGGACAACCAGAAGAGTGACACTTAAAAGACGTGAAGGTAATAGAAATAAAAGTAAAAACCACATGGACTCATAAGGACTATGCATTCTCACATGCCTCCTATATTCAAGACAAACTTTATTTAGCAGCAGACTTTCATAAGACTCTTGCGTTTTATGCCTTCATTCCCGGAAACAGCTGAGTCCCATTCATCATTTTTTCGACATAGCCTTAGAAATACTAAGTACTACTTAAAAGTACGAATCATCAAATTTGGTGTTTAGAAAGGACAAGCCAGAGAGGATGTGAAATGCTGGAGAAAGGGAAGTAGTGGATGGCAGTTTCCAGAAATTAAAAGGGGAGGATAAGGAGGCCATAATATCCACATTCATATGCAAAGAGATATAAGCAAACAGTGACATGTTATTTTATGCCCTCTTTCAGCTTTGAGGACTCCTACCTGAAGACATAATTTAATAAATGAGAATGTACTGAATAATGAGAAAACTAACCATACAGCTGCCATGCAATGCACTTTGTTCCATTTTGAGTTGGTAAGGGAGGGCCATCTAGCAAAGGAGGATGGTGTGGATTTGAGTGACATTTTTTATTTTGCCCCAGAGGCTTTTCAACCTTTCGTGGTTGTGTCAACCTCTCTTCAAAGTGGAGAATTAGAACACCTGGGTAGGAATGGGTGTATATACAGTCACTTATAATTTCAGTTGGGATTTAAAAAATCATCTACCTTATGCTTGAGTTGTGATCTCTAACTTTGTCCTGGGATTATTAGTGAGCCAATTACAATTTCAGATGACCCTTGGTTGGTTGTCGTCTTCTTTAGCTCTACTATATACTTCTGAGAGAAGGTTTAAATTCTATATACTGGATGGGTTGAAAAGAATAGATAAAAGAATGAAAAGTTTAAGTCACAACCTTCAGGATAATTATACAATTTTAAATGGAAATTTTCTAAATTCTATATATGCAACCTATAAATGACATGTAAAATCGCCTGGCACATTATAGACATTTAATATCTATTTCTGTCCTCCTAATTTGAAGAAAGAATTACTGCAACTGCAAATACCCTGTAAGAAAAGTCTAATTACTGTAGATCATGTATTTTACTAAGTAATGTCTTTCAACAATAAAATTATTTATGAAGCGCACTGACATATAAAGAGACGTTCGCTCACTGATGTTACAGCCTATCTATTCCTAGGTCTTTAACTTTTTATACTAAAAATGTCAACTATTTATTGGATTAGGTACATAATTACAAAGTCAAACACCTCGCCTTACTCTTTAAACGTTTTTTTCTCTATTATACAATTAACGTTCTTCACAGAAAAATCAGAAGAGATAATCAAAACAAAACATAAATCACCCACAATCCCATCACCTCAAGAAAACTGCTGCCACTGGTTTTAATCATATCCTTCTACGATTTCTTCATATTTTCAATTGAAGACACACTAAAGTGCCTAGGATATTGTTAAATATCCTAGCCCAATTCCCCACCCCCCAAACTGGTACGCCCCCGCTTGCAGTCGCAACTAGGCTCGACAGAGATCCATCTGTTTCCACTTCAGCCCAGTAATGAATTAACTAATGCAAAATTCAGAGATAAGCAAAAGAACTCTGCAATAAAGAGTAAAGCGGGAGTGAAGAGCCTGGTTCGTGGCAAAGTTTTGTCCATTAACAAAAAGGAGTTATCGTCCACAGGCCACAAATCTCCCGTGCACCTCAATTTCGGGCCAAAACGTCCGCTTCACACACTTTCAGGAATAAATATTACTTTTCCTCCTTCCGAAAGGGGTTGACCAGGCTTGATCTCCGGACGAGACCCGCGCCAGAAGCTGTGACGGAGGGCACTTCACCGCCATCCGCACTTCCGCTCCCTCCCGTTCCCCCCTGCTCAGGCCTCCTCCGTTACCCCACCCGGCCGCCGGACCCTGGGGGCCACGTCCACGCGACCCTCGCTCGCGAGCGCGGGCCCTGCGGAGCGGGCGGTCCCGGGAAATCCGGGGTCGGGCCCGCCACCGCACGTCCCCGGTGCCGTGGCCGCCTCTGCTGGGAACCAGGGCGAAAACACCGCAGCAACTGTCACCAGCCTCCCCGACATCGCGCCGCGGCCCTCGGATTCGGACCCCCACTCTCAACTCACCGCCAGGCCGGAAGCAGGAAGGCGGAAGCCCCCGCTTTCCCGCCCCGCCCACAGGTCGGCCCCAGCCTGGATCCGGCCTGAGGAAGTAGAGCGGCCAGTTTCCGGCTGCGCCATTGCTGCTCGCGCCCCAGATCCTCGACTTCCAGGACGCCAGGCGGGGCGCGGGGCGGGGCGGCGCCGGGGTTCCCGGGGAGCGGCAGGTGGGGCTGCGCGGGGTCGTGGCCGGGGCTGGCTGCTGGCTCGGGGCCCGAGTGCAGCGCCTCCTGCCGGCGTTGGCGCGGAGGCTCGCGTGGCTCAGGCCCCCCTGGAACGGGTCCGGGACCCCCGAGGGCCCACACCTTTGCCCCCCAGGCCAGCCGGGAAACTGCTGGAGCCAGTGGGTGGAGGGCCCGGGTGGGTGAGGTCTGTTGGGCCCTGGAAACTGAGACCAAAGAGCGGCGACAAGAAAGGAGTTGGTCCCCACAAACCACCCAAAGTCAAGGTGAGGGTCACACGACGACTCGAAAGATTCTAGCAAGTTCCTTCGGGTTCACACCCCACCCCTCACCCCTCTCCTCTTCTAGTTGGACAGTAGTTAAAGCTTCACGTAGAGGAGACAAAGAAGCAGTTGGACTGTGGTGGATCCACTGAGTCTTGTTATTAAGGGGAAAATGCAGCCATGCTGTGTGAAGAGGGCTCTTTGTTGTTTGTTTTTAATTTAAGAACCTAACTCATTTCACCAAAGAATGATCGACATTTGCCCAAAGCCAACGATAAATAATTAAACTGTCTGGGCATAGAGTTTCCACAGAGGCACTTGTTCTTTCAATACACAAATCAAGGGACACAAAAGTCAACAAGCAGAAGGAGTGCATTTATACTGTCTTCTAAATCGACAGGAACTGAGAGATTAGCCCGGTTTGGTTGGTGACCAAATTCTGTGATTGCTTGTAAGGAACTGCTGTTTGACTACTTCTGCAAATGTTGCAAGACCTCTTCCCTGTTGTATGCCAAATAAAGCAGGTTTTTATTCTTGAAAGATTATAGAATTGTACTCTCTGAGGAGCAAGCTGTGACATGTATAACAAGTTTAGGTATAACAACAGTAACTATTATTTACCAGGGAACAGGCTTTTGGCAAATAATCTCATGATCTAAAATACTGTTCATTGGGCATATGTTAATGTGTGTATGTTGCATTAGCCGCAGTTGTTTTCTTACTCATTCTTGTTTGAAAACTTGGATGATGGGGTTTCAAAGCTTGTGCTGCTTGCACCTGGCCTGTACCTGTGGTAGCCAGAAAAAGCAGACTCTGTCACTAGATTGTGTGTACTGAAAACTGCACTTGCTGAAGGTAACTTTATGTGATTTTTTTTAAAACTTGCCCAAATAGTAATTCCAGGAGGTGGGGAGGTCAGAATTTATTTTAACATCCTTCCTTCCAGAGGCCAAGGTGTGTGGGCTTTACTTTTAATTGTGGAGACAGTGTTCCCAATTACTGCCTCCCCAATAGTGTGCGCTGCTGCATCCCTTGTTAAATGCCTGAGTCTTGAGCCAGAAGAAAGGGCACATAAGGAGTAAGTAAGCCTCTGTAGCTCTTTGGCTGTAGTATAGACCATGCCCTTCACAGTCTAATAGACAGAGTTAGCTTCTAGATCTAGAGCAGGCTGCAAGCCCAGGAATAGCATAGGGTTGCCACAGAGCTTCTTAATGCAACCTGCATTGCCTTAATGAGAGGTGATGTCAAAATTGGTTCTTTCTGTAGTGAGAGTCTTAGCTTGTGAGTTGAGATTCACTTGTCTCTCTGCTGATCTGTATCCTCTGATTAGTCAGTCACTCTCAGCCTGTTTCCTCTTTTATATGTGGGAAGCGTATTAGGCCATCTCTGGTGTTCTTTCAGCTTTAAAATTCTGTCAGTTGGGCTGGAGTTGCCATTTTTCTAACTTATGCTTCATAAGCAGAATCAAAATAAGGAATTTAGTGGAAATATCGTTGCCAGTTTTCTTAAGGTCCTATTCTTTATTTGAAAAGATCCTTAATCGGGTTTTTATTCTCAAATGTCAGAATACCAGCTTAGAATAAGAAGGAACTAATGTCTCCTTGTATTTATTTTTAAGAAATAAAATCTTGTTCATGTAACTAACCAAATTAACCCTTAGCACTATTGATTAACAAGGGTTTGTTTTTGTAGAATAATTTCTGTGTAGCATAGCACACCACCAGTCCATCCACACTAGTTACTATATTGCAATTATATTTTGAAAATGGAGTCTTAAAGATTCTAAGTTTTTTTCTCTTAGAAAGGCAATTCCTCATCTTTGTCATGTGTTTGTTTAAAAGTATTTTTCCCTTACAAAGTTGCATTTCACCCTGGCTCATGTGAAAATTGTAAATGAGTGAAACATGAATAAGATTCTGTTATAATCTAGACTTGACTAAATAGTATTCTTGTATCCATTTTACCATCAAGGAACCAGAGACCTAAAAAGTACAGCGGGATTCTAAAGACATCTGCCAAAATCCCTGCTCTTTTTTAATGTCCAAAGACTTGGCAAAAAATGCTGATTTCATAAAATTAAAGTATGTTTTTTTGATTCTACAATTGTTAATTAACTGATAATCACAACTAAAATCTTCCCATATTTCAAAATTGCCTATTGTCCAGGTGATGGCAGCATGTCTCAAAGAGCTGCTCAGGTACAGAATGTTCTCTCCAACCTTGCCAGTTGATTTGCCTCTTCATCTCACATACGTGACCTGTCTACCAACCTCTAACTCAGCGGTTCTCAACCTTCCTAATGCCACAATCCCTTAATACAGTTCCTCATGTTGTGGTGACCCCCAACCATAAAATTATTTTCGTTGCTACTCTATAAGTGTAATTTTGCTACTGTTATGAATCGTAACGTAAATATCTTTTTGTTTTCCGATGGTCTTAGGCGACCCCTGTGAAAGGGTTATTCGACCCCCAAAGGGGTCGCGACCCACAGGTTGAGAACCGCTGCTCTAACTTCTCTGTTGGGCCTTTTCATTATTAGGTTCACTCCATCTTCCGTCCTCTCTTCAACCTCATCTTCTAAATGGGTCATACTGTGCCTCTTTGCTTTCAGCCTGTTTTGCCTACAAAGTATCACCAAATTATTATTTTCTAGAAAGTTCATTTAGGCCTATCCAGCAGCACAAAAATTTTTTTTTTAAATATTGTTATGTTTTACCCATTGTTAAATGTAATTTGACAGAAACACATCCTAAACTAAATAATTAGCCAATATTTTGAAATACTTGTTTAAATTAGAAGGCATCCTTCTTAAAACCTTATGGGATGCACCAATTAAGGAGATAATGAAATGTTTTTAAAGATAGAATTAGTCTTTAAAATAACAAGAAGGTTCAATAGGGAGCAGTGCAAGGATATCCAGTGCAGAAGGAATGCACATAAATATACAGCAGAATAGCTAGTTAAACCTACTTTAGTCAAAAATTGCTTGGAACATTATTCTCATATCTTTACAGGGCTACTGCCTCCCTCCTCAGAAAACGCCCTCTCTATTCCTGTCACTTTTATTTTTTTCACACTACCTCAATTTGATATCTTATTTGTTTACTGGTTTATTGTCTGTTTTTCCCACTAGAATGTAAGCTATATGAGATCTGTTACCCCAGTACCTAGAATATTGTTTTGAATAATTGATTCCAAGATATAGCGTTGCTAATTACAAATAAAATTGTTAGTGTTTGTGCAAATCATGAAATCCTGGGAATTTGTGAAGCTCATATTAAAGTACCACCACACTGTTGTAATATGTTTTGAAGGTAATAAGGGATGCCCCAGTAAGAAGGAAGTCTAAAGAGTGGCAAGTAAGCTGTTTGGGGAAAGATAAAAATAATTGTGGTTAGCTTGTTAATGAAAGAAGACTGGTTGCTTAATGATTTCCAAGTATGTAAAAGTATGTGCAAGGAACAATGTGATTCATCATCTTCATTGATAAGATAAAAGGAATTAGTTCTAGACTATAGGTGCTAAGATTTAAGATAAGAACAAGCAGACTAGAGATCTAAACAGAGATCTTTGAAAATGGAGTATGAGTGTATATGCAGGCTAGATGCCTTTTCTAGATGTGATTCCCAATGCAGATTGCAGGAGAAATACTGAAATTAGATAGCAGATGCTTCTCTCCTTGATTATTCCTTGCTGCCCCTGGCCTTTTCCATGCATTTTAGAAACATTTCAGTGTGTTTGAGCACAGTCAATACAGGTGGTTATACATTGCTGCTTTGGGTAGTTTATAGAATTCTTGTCACATAATACTAAAAATTGTGTGTTTCTGCTTTTAAACACTGAAACTCTTTACCTTTACAATTCTATATCTCTAGAATGTACTACATACTCATGCATGCACTTGCAGCAAACTAATTCCCTGTACTTAGAGGGCACCCTTTTAAAGGAGTAAAATTTCTGGCAAATTCCTCAGAAGCCTTGGTTGCTGTCCTATTAAAGTTTTGAGAGACACTTTCCTGCTGAATTGAGAGGTTCAATTATTAAGCCTATTCTTAAATGATATAATTATATTAGCCATGTCAAGCCCCCTTTTATTTCTGATGTGGGATTTCCTAGCCATTAAATAAGAGTTGTTGTCCAATTGGGAAAACTAATCTATACATAAGAATTCTTCAATGTAAAAGTGTTATGTATTACAAAAGCATCCCCTAGCAGCATCACCTTCACTGAGTAGCATTTTAATTTCATACCTTCCACCTTCATCTAAGCAAGCTACTCAAAGTAACCAT